AACCCCTCTTGAGGGGGCCTCACTCCTAGCCCCAAGTCCTATGAGAACCTCTGGTTCCAGACCAGCCTCCTGGGGACCCCAGTATCCCCACCTCCAAGCCAGGAGGATGACTGTGTCTTTGGGCCACTGCTCGACTCTTCCCCTCTTGCAGGAGCTCCGGGTCCATGGGGTGGAAGGACTGGGGAGCTTCTAGGGCTTCCTGGGACTCCCCACCTGGGCCTACCTCTTGCAAGGCCTGAACTATCCAGAGGAAAGTAGAGGGTCAGTGAGCTCGTCACGAAAACCTACCCCTGCCCCAGGAAAAGCAGAAAGGCTTCCAGTCACTCCCATTTCCACCCCCCAGCATCCCTCACCTTTCCCCAATCTCCATAGGCTGTGGGCCTCCCAGGCAAGCTGCATGCTCTAAGAGCTAGATAATGATCTAGCTCCACCCACTGGCCTTTTGTGCTTGTTTCCTATAATTTCAATATTTTAAACTGGAAATAAATAATAAAATAAAAAACCTTCAGTGGGTTCATGTGTGGTTAGGATGGCAACGCCAAGCCCTACGTATTACTTAAATATTTGTCTTTAGATGTGGCATATGTATAGTGTATAGTCTCTGGATCTTTAAGACAGAGATTCAGAGAATGATTACTTAGACTAGAATTTCATGTGTGAAATAAAGAGAAGGTATTGTGGAATTGCACTCAAATCCTTAAGTGGATATCCAATCAAGATTTAACTAATAAAGTGGGACAGCTTTTTCAGACAGAAATGATTATAATGTGTAACATTTCCCCTAAAGTGTTAAAATGTAGTAAAACTCAGAAATGTATTAGGGAAGTCCCAGGGACAAGAAAAGAAAAGGGAATTCTAGGCTATAGTGACAACTGGGGGCTGACACAAAGGCTAGGGAAACTAAAGTCAAAGTTGAAGGCTCCATGCACATTGGAGAGGCGAACTACCCACACTGCACATGAGACAGCTCCCTTCTATTAGGTTGGTGAGTTAGGCCAGTGCTGTGGGTGTGCAAATAATTGCACAGAGGGTAGATTTTTAAAAATAGTTAACTCAGAGAGTTGATCAGAAAAAATCACTTTCCCAAGAGAGGAGAAAGGGGCCAGAAACTAAAGAGGGCAGCATGGCTCCAAAATGTTCAGGGCTGGAGGCTTAGAAGGCTCTCCTTCAGGGGACAGGCAGACATTCCTGGATAACACAGGAGCTGTTGCCATAATGATGGTCTGTTTTTTGTATCTCTGATAAACAGATAGATGGGTGGGTCAGTCACAAGCACATAGACAAAGGTGGGCCAGTAGCTGGATGTGTGGGTCAGTCGCATAGACAAGAAGAGCTGGGCTGGTACCTGGAAGACAAATTCTTGGGCAAAGATATTAACCTAAGAAGGATTGGGCTGGTAGCTGAAAGACAAGTTCTTGGGACAAAGATGAGATGCTAATCTTAACATCTTGTGACCAAGAAGAAGGAAGCCCACCCAGGGGCCGGAAAACTGGTTATTCTTCTGGTTAATGATTATTGTTGTGTGTGCAGCATTGACCTAAGTACATGATGGGATCTGCTTAAGGTGACCAGACAAACTCCACATCTAAAGATAAATATTTAAATAATACTTAGGGCTTAGCTTTGCCATCCTAACCACACATGAACCTACTGGAGATTTTTTATTTTAAAAGATTACCTGTTAAATACAATGTTCAATATTTTGATGATGGGTACACTAGAAGCCCAGTCCCCACCATTACACAATAATCCTTGTAATAAATATGCACATGTACTCCCTGAATCTAAAAAACAAACACATTAAGATTTTTATTAATTTGCTTGTTATGAAAGCTATAATTTGATTTCACAAAACCCACTGTCATTCCTTCATTGTGTATCTGACATTTTACTGGCTTCATGCTACTATAGGAATAAATACAGTACACACACTCCTATTGTTGAACACTTGTTCTTTCCAATTTATGGTTTTTTAATCTCATAATCATAATTTTCCTATCTTATGATTTTCAGATTAAAATTTTGCACCTTATACAGTCTGACATATATTGCTTTCTAAAAGATAGGTGATTTTCACTACAAACAATAGAATATGTAAATGTTACCGCAGCCTAATAATAAATACACTTGATGAAATTACCAAACTCCAGTAAGTTTCTCTTGGCATTTATTTCATAGTGATAGGGAAAGGATATGGAGTAGGGAGTTTGACAAAAGATGTCCATCAAATTTGGCATAGCTATTACCTGAGAAGTTTGATAAAAGACATGCTATGGCAAGTAGAAGGCAACCATATCAAAGCCTGTGTAGAAATGCAGAATCACAAATCATGATCAATACAGGATTGACTAAAAGTGAAGATAATTACATTTGACACTTTAAGTATTACTGTTGCTTGATACAGTGGCTCTTGCCTATAATCCCAGCATTTTGGGAGGCCTAGGCGGGAGAATTGCTGGAGCTCAGGGACTTGAGACCTAGGCAATATAGTGAGACCTCATCTCTCAAAAAAAATAAAAATAAAAAAATTAGCCAGGTGTTGTGGTGCACCCTGTAGTCCCAGTTACACCGGAGGCTGAGGTAGAAGAATTGCCTGAGCCCAGGAGGTCAAGGCTGCGGTGAGCTATAATTATGCCATTGCACTCCAGCCTGGGCAACAGAGAGCCCCAACTCAAAAAAATAAAAATAATTGTTACTGTAAGTCTTGCCTTGACACTGCTGGAAAAAAATATATCTGTGAAATATGAATTGCTCTGTCATCGCAAAGTTAACAAAACCTTTTTCAATCTGTACTATGAGAAAAATTACAAAAGATAGTTGAATGTACAGTCTATATAACCAGTAGAACACTAGACAGAGCCAAAAATAAGATTCCAATTTCACAGTGGCTCACGCCTGAAATCCCAGCACTTTGGGAGGCAGAGATGAGAGGATTGCCTGAGCTCAGGAGTTCGAGACTAGCCTGAGCAACATGGAGAGACCTTGTCTCTAAATAAATTTTTTTAAAAATTAGCTGGGCATGGTGGTGCATGTCTGTGGTTCCAGCTACTTGAAAGACTGAGGCAGAAGGATCGCCTGAACCCAGTAGGTCAAGACTGTGGTGGCCATGAGCATGCCACTGCACTCCAGCCTGGGCAACAGAGTCTCTAACTCAAAAAATAAAAACAAACAAAAATTCCAACTTTAGAACAAAGGATGGGTAGAAGACAACAAAATGTAAAAGGATAATATTCAAAGCAATGCTGTGGATTGCAGTGTTGAGTGTACTCTGCATTTTAACTAGTTTGTTTCCATAAATTATTTTTTGTAGTTTTATTCCTCTGGTTATAATTTTACTTATTATTTTTATTTTTTTGAGTTGGAGTCTTACTCTGTCATCAAGGCTGAAGTGCAGTGGCATGCTTCCACCTCAGCCTTCCAAGTAGCTGGAACTACAGGTATGTGCCACCACACCCAACTTATTTAATTTTTTATTGTAGAGATGAGTTCTCGCCAATTGCCCAGGCTGGTCTTGACCTCCAGGCTCAGGCAATCCTCTTGCCTCAGCCTCCCAAAGTGCTGGGATTACAGACTGAGCCACCGTGCCCGGCCATAATTTTAAAATATTATACGTTTTCTCTTTTGGGTCATTTTAACAACCAAGTACTAAACACACAAAGTACTAATCAACACTTGGTTGTCAAGATTTAGCAGCAAGCAAAAACCCTGCCTTCATAGAGTTTACATTGTAACAGGCATCAATTTTGGCACGTCCACCTTTAGAGTTTTGTGAATGTAAATGCCTGAGAAAACTCTTATTCTAAAGTCTGTCTCCTGAATCAAAGTTCTGAATGAAGACCTTACTTCAACATGTACCACCAGTCTCCCTTATGTGGTCCCAGAACCACTGGATATAGTGAGCTATGGCTGAAAACACCAGCTTTAACTTAATGTCTTCCCTCCTATTAGACTAGATGAAATGTATCACCAACATGGATTCTGTGATAAATTATAAGCTATGAACTCAAAATGAAGTGCTTACCATGTCTCTCATTTTTAAAATGTTATTCCCGTGTGAACACTGGAATGAGATCATGGTTGTTAAAATAAAGTGAAAAAGTTTGCCACACACGTCACTTTATTAAGGTTTCTCTCCAGTGTGGATACTCTAAAATTGAAAGCCTGAGGCCTGATTGAAGCACACACACTTCACACACTTCCATGGCTTCTCTCCCATGTGGACCCTCTGATGCATATCGATTCAAGTGATCCACTAATCCCACCACTGTGTATATATCCAAAAGAAAGGAAAATAATATATTAAAGAAATATTTGCACTTCCGTGTTTATTGCAGCATTATTCATAATAGCCAAGATATGAGCCAGGGTATGTGGAATCAACCTAGGTGTCCGCGAGACGAATGAAAAAACATGGCATATATACACAACGGAATACTATTTAGCCATAATAAAGAATAAAATTGTATCATTCAAAGCAACATCGATGAGCTTTGGAGGACATTATGTTAAGTGATATAAGCCAGGCACTGAAAGACATAGACCATGTTTTTACTCATATGTGGAAGCTCAAAAAATTGAACTCATAGAAGTAATGGCTATTAGAGGCTAGAAAGGGGATCAGGAAAATAGCCAAGTGTTGGTTAACATCTGTAAGTAGACACAGGAGGAACAGGTTCCAGTGCTCTACAATACTCCAGGGTGATAATAATTAGCAATTTACTAGTTGAGGAGTCTCACTCTGTCATCCAAGCTGGAGTACAGTGGCATGCTCACAACTACTGCAAGCCAACCTGCTGGGCTCAGACAAACCTTCTGCCTCAGCCTCCCACATAGCTGGAACTATAGGCGTGCACCACCACGCCTGGCTAATTTTTTTCCTTTTTTTTAATTGTAGAGATGAATTCTTGCCAAGTTGCCCAGGCTGGTCTCAAACCCCTGGACTCAAGCAATCCTTCCATCTCCACCTCCCAAAATGCTGGGATTACAGGCATGAGCCACTGTGCCCAGCTACTCTTTATTTTCAAATAGCTAGAACAGTGGACTTTGAAAGTTCCTAATACAAAGAAGTAATAAATGCTTGAGGTGATGAATATGCTAATTACACTGATTTGATCATTATACATTGGATACACGTTTTGAAATATCACACTGTACCCCACAAATATGTACAATAATTATGTGTCATTTAAAAATAATGACAAAAGCATATCAAGATTCAGGCGCCTCTTATAGCCCTTCCCACACTCCTCACATCTGTATGGTTGTTCTCCACTCTGGTCTCTTTGTTGGTTTTTAAGGCTCTTACCACAGTCCTCACATTTGAGCGGTTTTTTCCTGCTGTGAAGTCTCTGATGGGTTAGATGAGTTGAGGCCCATCTGAAGCCCTTTCCACACTCCTCACATTTGTATGGCTTTTCTCCAGTGTGGACTCTCTGATGGGAATGAAGTTTTGAACTGTCAGGAAACCTCTTCCCACACTCTTCACACTGGAATGGTTTTTCTCCACCATGGAGTCTCTTATGATTAAAAATACTTGAGGCCCGGCTGAAGCTCTTTCCGCATTCCTTGCAATGATAAGGTCTCTCTCCCGTGTGGACCCTATGGTGCATGTCAAGATTGAACTTACTGTTGTAGCCCTTTCCACACTCCTCGCATTTGTATGGTTTTACTCCAGTGTGGATTATGCGATGGGAAAAAAGTTGTGAATTCTGAGTAAATCTTTTCCCACACTCTTCACATTGGAATGGCTTCTCTCCGCTGTGAACTCTGCGGTGGGTATAAAGTTGTGAATTCTGAGTAAATCTTTTCCCACACTCTTCACATTTGAATGGTTTTTCTCCACTGTGGATTCTCTGATGATTCAAAAGACACGAGGCCCAGCCAAAGCTCTTCCCACATTCCTTACAATTATAGGGTTTCTCCCCTCTGTGAACCCTCTGGTGAAAGTCAAGATCTAATCTCCTCTTGTAGCCCTTCCCACACTGCTCACATCTATATGGCTTTTCTCCACTGTGGGCTCTCTGATGGGAATAGTGTTGTGAATTTGTATAAAATCCCTTCCCACATTCTTCACATTTGAATGGTGTTTCTCCACTGTGGACTCGCTGATGTCTTGAAAGACCTGAGGCCCATCTGAAACTCTTCCCACATTCTTTACAATTATACGGTTTATCTCCTGTGTGGTCCATCTGATGCTTACAAAGATCTCGTCTGCAAATGAAGCCATTTCCACACTCCTCACATTTGTACAGTTTCTCTCCTGTGTGGACCATGCGATGAGTATTAAGTGCTGACCTTTGACCAAAGCTCTTGCCACAAGTGTCACATCTGAACGGTTTCTCTCGCATGTGAACTATGCAATGCCTATTAAGATTTGATCTACTACGGAAGCTCTTACAACATATATCACACTTGAATGGTTTCTCCCCAGTATGAATTCTCTGATGTTCCTGAAGCTGTGAATCGTGAATAAAGGCCTTCCCACATTCCTCACAATTATAAGGTTTCTCTCCTGTGTGCAATTTGCGATGAATATAAAGCCCTGATCTGCGACTGAAGCCTTTCCCACATTGCTCACATTTGAATGGTTTCTCTCCAGTGTGGACTCTCTGATGAATCTGCAGATGTGAGCTCTGACTGAATTCCTTACCACACATATCACAATTAAACAGTTTCTCTCCCATGTGGAGTCTCTGATGAATATGAAGAGCTGAGATGTAACAGAAACTCTTTCCACACTCATTACATTTATGAGACTTCTCTCTTGAGTGTAACTGTTGGTGAAGATCAATTATGGAGAAACCACTGAAAGATTGTTTATACTCATTACCCTGGTAAGGTTTTTGTTCTATGTAATTTATAGATAGCCCTGCCTCAACATGGCAGGATGTATCACTTTGTTTAGAGAACTGAGAGTTATTTGTCAGGGAGTCTTGAGATGCGGTTAAGTCGCTTGCAATCTGTTCCCAGATTTGCTGACAGGACAACTCTTCATGTGTTCCTGCTTCTGGAACAGTCTCTATTTCAGTCTGGATCTTGCTTCCTATCATAACACAAAATTAAGGGATGCAAACAAGTGAAGTCATTGTTTAGTGTTATCAAGATTTGACACTTAGAACAAAGCATAAATTTTAATAAATACAGGGAATGTTCAGATTTTGTTTTCCAAGTGCACCATGTTCTCTGGTTTGCATGAGACCAATTCAGAACCACATCAAGTATCACATGTGAAATAGCTGGCAGAAATAGAACCTTACATGGTAAATTGCATAACTAGTAAATTATGCACATAATGAAATATAAATCAAAGGTGAACTTTAAGGAGAAGCAATAACATAACCAATACTTTATACATCTTAGTTTATACTGTATATCCTTATGAAGTAAAAAAATTAACCTAACTCAAAAAGAGGTCTGGGTTTTGTCCTCAGCATCTGAGAAGTAATCTATAGGCTTTGGAAGTTCATGTCCAAGGAGAGTGTCTTTGTTTGCCTGAAGGTAGTAGGTCATTCTGGAGAGTATAACAGTATGATTTAGGACTGTGGCTGGCCACACCCTTGAGGAGGGTATAGTGCTCCACACATCATAAAGACCAATAATGTGATTTAAGGTGGAATTTTAGATTATATGGAATCAGTCAACCAGGAGACTGGGATTACCTAATGGAAAATTAATCAACCAATAATGACTACATAATGGAGCCCCAACAATTACTCTGTCTAGTAGGGCTCAGTTGAGCTTCTCTGATTGACTGTACTCTCTAATGTCACACTTTAATCTTGAGACTATAACAAATCTTGATTCTACAGGGAGAGTACACTAAAAAATTCTCACTGGTCCTTCCCTGGATTCTAACTAATTTTTCTCCTAATAGTAATGTGCATCTTTCTCCTATAAAAATCTGTAATTTTGATTATAAAAGCATTCAGTGAGTTCTGCTTGTCTTTCCAGTGAATTACTGAACATGCAGGTAGTTTTGGGAAACCTCAAATCTGAAGCTGGTATGAAGGGAGGTCAGTCTTCTGTAAAGTGTTGCTCTAAACTACATAGATGGCTAAACTCTTCACAATACTAAATATCAAAAACCTAGGAGTAGCCGGGCTTGGTGGCTCAGCCTGTAATCCCGCGCCTTTGGGACGCTGAGGTGAGTGAATTGCCTGAGCCCACGGGTTCGAGACCCGCCTGGGCAGGCGAGACCTCATATCTACAATAAGTCCAAAAATTGGCTGGGCGTGGTAGCATATACCTGTAAGTCTGGCTACTGGGAAGGCTGAGGTGGAAGTATCGCCGGAGCCCAGCAGGTTGAGGCTGCAGTGGCTAGGAGCGACACTGCACTCCAGTCTGGGTGACAGAGTGAGACTCCAACTCAAAAAAAAAAAAAAACAAACCTAGGAGTATCTACATCTATTGATGCAGAATATTCCTGCACATGGATCTTTACAACATATATATTTAATCTTATTTTTCTGTGTTGATATGGATACTAACTTGGTTATCTAAAATAGAAAAGGAACAGAAAATTGCAGTTATGATGGGAATCTGAAAGGTTGTACCTGACAGGGAGGAGTGCACCAAGGGATGATGCTGATGAGACAATGAAAGGTAGCAAGGATCACTTGGGATGAAAAGAATACCTGAGGGATGTCTTGGTTGGTTCTATGTGAACTTATTGGATGGTCTCATTGAAAACAGAGGGCAGAAAATATACAATATAAAGAAACAGGCTCTTATAACCATTTTCCAGTAAGATGTGCCAAACATCAGGCCTAAAGAGCAGAAAGATAATGTTTCTTGACTAAGTTTGTGGTAATTGGTTACCAGCAACAATCAATACAGTGTCCCTGGTAGGAAGGAGAAACAACAGGGAGAACAATGTGGCTGCAAAAAACAGGGCAAGAGGGAGCGAACAGGAGATGAATTCAGAGGCAGTGGGGGATGAAAAGACCACAGGGTCTCTAAAAGCCACTTAAAGAGGTTGTAACTTTAATAAAAAATAAGGAGCCATAAAGGCTTTTGAGCTAGGGAATAACAATCTGACTACATTTCCTAAGATCACTTTGGTTGCTATGAGAAGTCAGGGTGGGCAGGGTGCAAGCAGGACAACCATCTGGAAGCAGCTAGAAGGCAGTTGTAATAATCCAGAAAAGAGGGCTGGCAATTTTAAAAAGGGCAATGGAATTGTGCAAAGTAAAGCAGATGAGTCACATACAAGGATACACAGTTGCTTGGTTCTTACCTGAATTCCCTTCTCTTTGGGTTGCTGTGTTCTTCATCCAAAACTTTTCTTCCCTTAGGAAGTGGAAAGTATCTTGGTGGAATGGTTGATGCCCTGTGAACACACAAAGTCACATGCTTAATGCCAACACATTCTAGGTAGTATCTAAGTAAAATCTACTGAAAATTTAGGTTCCCACTGCATACTCAAACCTGAATACTCTAGGATACAATGCCACTCCTGGGGCCTGTCATTTTGTTACACAGAGGGCTTGTCCTCACCCACGGAAAGTAGGTTCCTGAAGTTCTCCAGCATCACATCTCGGTACAGCTTCCTCTGGGCAGAGTCCAGCAGCCCCAGCTCCTCCTCAGTGAAGACCACAGCCACATCCTTGAAGGTCACTGCCTCCTACAACATCAAACATCACAACCTCAACCTATAACCAATCACTATGGGGAGAGGTACAGCATTGAGCAGATAGAGGAGATGGGTGGAAAGTTGTTTAGATGTTGACAGACATAGGTCAACGTATAGGTTTCCCACTAATTCTGTGTCCTGGCAGTGACAAACACTGATTTTCCTGAGCTCCTCCAGAAGTACAATAATGAAAGACAAGTCCTGTACTTTTACTTCGTGCACCCACTAAGTCTACTTGTAAGTAACCCTCTAGGATTCAAATGACGCACACTGGGCTACAATTATTGAACTTTCAATGAATCTTGTCAACTGTCCCAGCAACATTTAGCAATTCAGTCCTAACCCTGTTTGCTAAAGCACATGATCCTCCTCTCTCAAACTTGAACTCTGGATACTATCACCTTTTTTTTTGAGTTGGGTTCTCTATTGATGCCCATGCTAGAGTGAAGTGGCATAATTACAGCTCACCACAGCCTCAACCTCCTGGACTCAGACCATACTTCCTGAGTAGCTGGGACTACAACTGTGCACCACCATGCCTGGCTAATTTTTTTATTTTATTTTTTATTTTAAAGATGTGGGGTATAATTCAAGGTTAGGTCTACAAATGTTCATTATGCAGGTACCCTTGTTGATGAGGTTTTTATTTTATTTTTATAGAGACAAGGTCTCACTATATTGCCTGGGCCTGTCTTGAACTCCTGGGCTCAAGCAATCCTTCCACCTCAGCCTTCCAAAGAGCTAGGATTACAGGGATGAGCCCCGTGCCCGGCCTTGCTTTCTTTACTATCTGCCAAATTAACAAGGCTGTGGTGACCTGTGTGGAACAACTATGAAGAGCATCCTCTGTACTCCCAAGGTACAAACTACACACATTAATTGCGGTATTCAATGTCATGATCTACAGCCAGACTCCCTAGTAGCACATCCCAAGGCTCTGTCCCTTCCCAGTCATGTTTCCTTGGACAAGTTTGTGTCTACATGCATTCATTTCCTCTCTGTGTAATGATTTTCTTTTCTTTTTTTTTTTTTTGAGTCAGAGTCTCACTCTGTCACCCAGGCTGGAGTGCAGTGGCATGCTCATAGCCACCACAGTCTTGATCTGTTTGGCTCAGGTGATCCTTCCACCTCAGTCTTCCAAGTAGCTGGAACTACAGGCATACACCGCCATGTCTGGCTAATTTTTTTGATTTATTGTAGAGACAAGGTCTCACCAAGTTGCCCGGGCTGGTCTGGAACCCCTGGACTCAGGCAATTTTCTTACCTTGGCCTCCCAAAGTGGTGGGATTATAGGCTTGAGCTACTGCACCCAGCCTTAATGATTTTCATGTGACAGTTTTTTTCAATGATTTGACAAGGCATTATATATAGAATTGGGAAAATTGTGTGAGACAGACTAAATACCTAATAAACATTTGCTGTTTTTATTATTATTGTCATCTATTTTATTTCTTGTCTGCCTAGTATTCCAAATATTTGACTATCTATTTTTGTCTACTCTAAATAGAACTGTCTATGCTAAATAAGAAATACTCTTAAAAAAAATGCCCTTAATTTTTTTGAGGTGGGGTCTCATTCTGTTGTCCAGGCTGGAGTGAAGTGGCAGGATCACAGCTCATCACAGCCTTTACTACCTGGGTGCAGGAGATCCTTCCACCTCAGCCCCCTGAGTAGCTGGGACTACAGGCATGTTACCTCTAATTTTGGCTATTTTTTTCAATTTTTTTGTAGGAAAGAGGTCTTACTATGTTGGCTAGATGTCTCGAATTCCTGGGCTCAAGCAATCCTCCCACCTCAACCTCTCAAAGTACTGAGATTATAGGCATGAGCCACCCCACCTGGCCTCTAAATAATAAATAATACGTAATTTTACATAGTCTATCTACAAAACAGCCAAGGTGGCACATGTCAAAAGTACCTTTTCAAAATTGGGCTCATATTGTCTGTGAGTAGACATTATGCAATATCAAATAAGCAGAGGATAATTTGAATTACATGAATATCATCAATACAATTACAGCTATGAATGTACATGAGGCAGAGTACAGGGAGGTAAAAATAGCTGATTTGTGAGTGAGTAGGTATTTAGTAAAATGAAAGAGTTATCCATCCCTACTATTTCTTTATTTCATCAAAAAAAATGATACAAGAACATAAGAAGTAAAAACAAATGCAAGATCTATTCAAAAGGAACAAAGGCGGCATCTGGGCCTCAAATGCCTGCTGTTCTCCTTTAGTCTTACCAAGACAGAGAAAAATGTGACAATCTGAGCAGTGAAATGGAATTTGAACAGCAAGAGAGGCAAGACTTTACTCACCTTGAATGTGTTCATTTTTCTTCCGACTTTGAGAAATTTGCAGTGTCCTCAGTTGTGCAGTTCCCAGGAAGGCAGACTCATGCCTGGAAAGTGCTGGGGAAGGCAGAAAAAGAAACTTGAAAAGGTGGCCAGGGATGCCGCCTGCCAACACAGATGTGTACTGTGTATTAGCACATGGTGTCCACAGTAGCATTATTCACAATGACCCCAAATTGCACACAACCAAAATGCCCTCCTGTGGGTAAATGGATACAAAAACTGTGGCATATCCATCCAATGGAATCTTATGTGGAAATTAAAATGAATAAAGTACTGCCTCATGCTACAACTTGCATGAACCTTGGAAACAAGATTCTAAGTGATAAAAGCCAGTCACAAAGGATCACATATTGTATGATTTCATTTCTATGAAATTCCAGAGTAGGCAAACATATATAGTGGTCCCTGTGTATTTGAGGTGAGAAAGAGGATTGTTAGTGGGCAAGTAGAGTCTAACAAGGGGATGAAAAATATTTAAACTAAATTATGGTGATGGCTATTCCAATTTATAAAGTTCTTAAAGATCAATGATTGGACACATAAAATGGTTGGATTCTATGATGTGTAAAATACACCTCAATAAAGTTGGACAAAGTAATTGCTGATCTACATGTCATTTAACTTAAGACTGGATTCTCAGTCCATGTTGACAGAATATTTATATTTGTCTTTTTTTTTTTTTAGAGATTTATTAAAGGGGCTGTTACAGAGAGGGTCTGTAACCGAGAAAAAGCAAGAGAGAGAGCAAGAGAGTGGGGGGGGAGAGGGCGAGAGAGAAATATTTATATTTGAATGAATGAATAAGCAAATGGGGGAGGAAGGAAGTTCACTTTTTCAGTTGAATGCCCATTAGTAAGTGTCTCTCCCCATAACAAAAATTTTATTAAGCAAAAAAAAAAAACTAGGAAGAGTATATTAAGGACAACATGAATCTATGTTCCTGGAAAGAAAAATAAATTATTGTAAATAGTAATTTTCTTTTTTCTTTTTTTGAGTTGGAGTCTCACTCTGTCGCCCAGACTGGAGTGCAGTGGCACGCTCCCAGCCACCGCGACCTCAACCTGCTGGGCTCCGGCGATCCTTCTGCCTCAGCCTTCCAAGCAGCTGGAACTACAGGCGCGCGCTACCACACCTGTCTAGATTTTGATTTATTGTAGAGATGAGGGCTCGCCAAGTTGCCCAGGCAGGTCTTGAGCCCGCTGGCTCAGGCAATCCACTCACCTCAGCCTCCCAAAGCGCGGGATTACAGGCTGAGCCACCGAGCCCGGCCTAAATAGTAATTTTCAATGGAAAAATATGACAAACATCACTCTGGCCAAATGAACTAAGTTAAGATTATCAATGAAGGGACAATCTGACATTATTTGGCCCCTGTTATGTTGCAATGAAAAGCTCATCACGTCTTTGGTGTCCCCACACATAAAAAATGTATAATCTGAAGATAAACATAAAGTATACCAGACAAACTCCAAAAGAACACCTCCAAAATAACTTACCTATACTCTTCAAAAATACCATGGATAGTCAGGTGCGGTGGCTCACGTCTATAAACTCAGCACTTTGGGAAGCTAAACCCAGGAGTTCAAGACCAGCTTTGGCAACATGGCAAGACCTCTTCTCTACAATAAAATAAAATAAAATAAATTAGCCAGGCATGGTCACCCAGGCCTGTAGTCTCAGCTGCTCCAGAGACTGAAGTGGAGGAATCGCCTGAGCCCAGGAGGTCGAGACTGCAGTAGCTGTGACCATGCCATTGCACTACAGTCTGGGTGACAGAGTGAGACTCTGACTCAATCCATCAAAAATTTATACCAAGGATAAGATATCAAAAATAAAAACGACAAAGGCTATTATGTCCTTCAAGATTAAAGAAGACTAGAAAATCATAACTAAAAGCAATGCATGAGATTAGACTTTAGGGATGGGGGATGGGTACAGATTTAAGGAGTTTAAGTAAAAAACAGAACAAAATTAAATATGAAACTGCTCATTAGATAATGTTATTTAGCGCCATCTAATAGATAACAATTAACTACTACTAGCAGTCTTTTAATAGATATATAATATGTAACAGACAACATTATATAGCATAATATCTAATATTAAATAGTACATTATGTGAAACCCTACTACCAGCCCTTCTGAAATGTTTCCTACCCAGATACCCCATGATTACCCTAGCATGGTGGGCTTCCTCGAAGCAGAAAGCTACAATAAGCTGTCTGTGGTTACAGGTATGTTCTTAGCGGTATTTGGCTGACACAGCAGACAGGCAAAATGTTAACAATTAGTAAATTGCGGTAAAGAGTAAATGAGAATTCTTTATACTATTTTTGCAACCTTTCTATAGGTTTCAAATTGTATAAAAAGTTTTAAAATTTCAGGAAACAGTCTTAGGAATAATCATAATGGCAATGAGAATAATAAGGATGGGCATAATTCACTAATTTATTCTCTCTTGGTGGTGTTGGGAAGTTTCCACAGTTCAACAAATAAGGGGAGATATATTAAGAAATATATAGGGCAACCCCCTCAGGTCCCCTCCCATTGTGGGAGCTTTTCTGTCCTTTCAAAAAATCCTGCTTTAAAAAAATTAATAAATATATAAAAATTTTGTTTAAATGTTTATAAATG